CCATTTTTCAAATGTCGTGTAATCTATTTGATTCTCGGCGACAAGTGAAATGGCCACGGAGAGCGTTAGTGAAGTATACTTCGTTTTAATTCATTTTTTAGGGATGGTTAGGGATGGTTTAATGTTTAATTCATTAAATTCACTAATTTCGTGGTCCGTTTGACCAATTGATATCTTTCAATTAATTAAGGTTATTGTTGAGATAAAAAGTCAGTGTCTCGAGCGAGATTCGAACCCACGATCTTCGGCTTGATACGCCGCTGCTCTACCACTTGAGCTATCGTGACCTCGATCCACTCGGACACTAACTTCCCACCTCAACCCCACCTTTTAAATTTTTCCTCCTTTTTGCTATTTTTCAAATGTCGTATAATCTATTTGATTCTCGGCGACAAATGAAATGACCACGGAGAGCTTTAGTGAAGGCATACTTCATTTCAACTTCTTAAATTCACTAGTTTTCGCGGTCAATTTGGCCAATCAATATCTTTCAATTAATTAAGGTTTTTAGTTGAGATAAAATATGAAAACTGGCAAAAAGAAGGGAAAATTCAAAAGGTGGGGTTGAGATGTGAAGTTAGTGTCCTAGTGGATCGAGGTCACGACAGCTCAAGTGGTACAGCAGCGGCGTATCTAGCCAAAGATCGTGGGTTCGAATTCCGCTGGTGACACTGACTTTTTATCTCAACTAATAACCTTAATTAATTGAAAGATATTAATTGGTCAAGCGGACCACAAAAACTAGTGAATTTAATTTGGAGTTATGACAAGCGTTGGAAAACTAGATTGTTCTACCTTCAGTGTTTGTCTAATAGAGTTACATTTTGTATCATCATAAGTGAGAAAAATAAGGATGAAATTAATAAAAAACATCGCAAACTTTGTATTATTTATGTTAGGCTTTCTTTTTTTAAGGAAGCAGTATTTATGACTAATTGCATTTGTGAAGTTAACAGTTAATGTTTATTTTATCGGTTCATTGGGACAATTGGGAAGAAAGCTCATGTTTAGCATTTTTCCACCTAATATCACCAACAAGTTTCATTAAAACCGGTGATCCCCCACGTCTGTAGCTTCCACTTGTCAGCTTTACACTTATGTCGTCAACATTTACTCACACAACTAGCAACGAAGCTTCCAATGTTGTCTAAACATTTTTTTTTAAACTATTGAAAGATTTGTTAGTCTTAATGTTGCTTCCCATTGTGTGTAACTTGAAAATAGTTTCTTAGGCCCGGAAATTCCGGAGGCGACTAAAGTCACGACTGTTTATTCCGGAAGGCATCTAACAAGTCCTATCACAACAAAGGGTAAACAACACAAAGTACACACCGATTTGTCATATCTTTCACACGTGGAGGTCGATAAGCCGGGCTTATCATTGGCCCAATTCATACAAATCTCCAGAGCGTACTTGGAAATTACACTTGTTGCGGTGGATGGTTATGTTTATTCTGTCACCATTGATCAAAAGTGAAACTTAACTTTTTGCAACAAGCCTGGACTCAAGCTAAAAATAATTTATAGAAATATGATAATGAAGAAAAAAATAAATGATGACATCTTCTTAATGAAAGAAGCTGATAATAGATTTGCTAGTGAGTTCGAAATAATCAAAAAATTTCTGATTGTGTTTTTTTGCCTTGCCGACAGAGTTTAAAAACGCCTACACCTTCTTTTATAAATCGGGGCGGAAGATAACTTTGTCGGCGACGTTTTGCATATTTTAGCCTTCAAATGTTTTAAAATAAATAAATAACTGCAAAGAGCGACTAATGAAAGAAGCCTATAGGAATTCTACTTGATATAAGAAAACATGATCATTCAGAAACGTACCAAGCCGTGCGCAATATTTTGCTGGGTGGTGCAAAATTTTCTGAACGCTTAGAATAAACCGATTATCCTGTGCCTGCATAAAGTAGCACGTATGCAAACCCACAGTGCCTTAGTGAAAAGACTCCAAAAGGGAACTCAATAATAAGGAGGGATTTTTACTACTCGTTTAAGTTTCATAAGGCATTTTATTATTATTAAATTATTATTATTATTATTATTATTATTATTATTCGGAAATCGTGAGATGCGTCTGGTGTGATGTAGGTTTCAGAAAAACATTTTCTTTATCGTGCGAACGTTTCGATCTTTATTGAGATCATCTTCAGGGCTCAAAGAGGTTGTCTTCTGTGTTATTCTTGCGTGTAGTGTTGAGAGTGCCCCACACTTTGAGCCCTGAAGATGATCTCAATAAAGATCGAAACGTTGGTACGATAAAGAAAATGTTTTTCTGAAACCTACATCACACCAGAACGCATCTCACGATTTCCGAATAATTATCGATTAACAGTCACTAATCACCACACATTATTATTATTTATTATTTAAAAAATTATTTTATTATAAAAAATTAAATTGTATATGTAATGTCCAATTTCAGGTGTGGATAAGAAATAAACATAGATTTTTCATTATTTTATGTCACTAAAATATTACGCTTCTTTGCTAAATAATACTAATTTTGCTGTACTTGTTGCAATATTTTTAGTTTTAAGTAAATCTTGAAATTCGGCAGTATCGTTCAGAAATCTGAGGTTTTTGTTTAATACTCATTTAAATACGGAAGTGAGCTAATTTTATTTAAGAAAAATAAAACACTTAGGACAATATTGTTTTCGAAATTTAAAAACGAAGACTTTTCTAAGAAAGAATCAGTAAAAGTTGAACATGATTTTTAACAAAAGAGTAAACAGTTTCCACAAAACTAGGAAATCATAGGTTTTTATTTGTTAAACATCGAATAACGTAATTGTCTTCTTTATAAATAATTAAAATTCTGCGGAAAAAAATGGTTGAGAAATCAGAACTTGTCACATAATAATAATAATTTATATCGGGGAATGATTCAGTAATAATTTATATATGGAAATGATTCAGTTTTATTCACAAACTAAGAAAAACCTAGGCTAAAATTTGCCAAATTTAAAAAGAAGATCAGTAAAGACGAACATGATGTGTTATTAGTAGATAATTTCCACATAATCTGGAAAATCAATCAGTATATGATATACATTTAAACAAAAATTACCAACAACTTGTATTGAACCAGCGTATATATATAATAGTGTGCGGACAAAGGTTACTAATCAGATGGGTTTTAAAAAGTAGAATGTCACTATATTCCAATGTTGAAAGCATAATTTCTCATATGAATATGCAGCATGGTGAACTGAAGTACTGACATTACACAATTATTTCCAACACTGTTTAAACGTGGGTCAAAGGTTCAGTTTCGTGAAATGTTTAATGTGGTTTGAGAAGCAGATTTAGTCAGTATTGTCGCTAAGGAGTCGCCTACATTTCTGAGCAATTTATAGACGCATTTATAGGCCAGCTCCTCATAACGGCTCCGGAATAATCTTCAGCTTCCGTGTGTAAATCAAACAGTTTGGTAGGTGGAATTTATATGTTATTATATGGCATTTCATAAGTTTCGTTAATTGTCGTCTGTCTACAAGTAATAGAAATACTATATAAATAGAATTATATCGAAAGACTTATAGACAAATAAGAAAATATTTTACGTTGAAAATTTTTCTTTGGACATTTCTTTCTATATAATATTTTAATACACTTTTGAAAAAACGCATCTAATTGAAAATGTTTTAGTACCTACAGATTCGATGATCAAAATAACCATTAAAATTAAAACTTTCTACATATACATACTTAGTCAAACCGATAAGGATGTAAGGATCCATAGTTTCGATATTCGGATATTGCCAAGTTTTCTATCAGAGATTTTACGACTAATGTTTTCAACCTCTTCCCATCACTTCGCAGTGATATTCACATCATCAAAACCTATTACAAACTTTTTTCACTGTAATTTGCAAGATGCCACTAACCACTGTCTTACAATTATCGTGTAGAGTGTAGACTGAAAATATAAAGAACACACACGCACGCACGCATACATCCACACTTACATTGAATATGGTAGGTTTTGGAAAATGCTGAAAATTTTTTGTTTTTGTCTAATAACTTTCTATAATCAATGTAAAATTAGGTTCTAACTTTAATCACCAAATTTACAGATAATAAAAAGTAACCTGCTTTGTTTCTTTATTGTTAAAAAAATAAGACAGCTTAAAAAAAAAAAAGTACAACATATAAAAACATCAATACCTGCAAATCGCCAATAGGGCTGCAATTTTCCGTTATTTACATTTTGAAAAATATTATTTAATATTGTTTTCAAATTTCTTGCATTTTTAGCAATACAGAAATAAAGCATTGTCCTTAATAATGGCACAGCCTGCCGAGACGTCATTCGAAAAAGTGTTTAAAACAACCTTCAAGAAAAAATCAGAAAGACAACAAAAACGAAGAAAAAATCTATCCAATATAAATAAGTTTATGTAAATACAAATTTATTTATAGGTATTATTATGTCTATGGATTTTGGAAAAGACATGGTTCATTTCCTAACTTCACCAATTTAACATTTTTATACTGATTTGTTACATTTTTTAAATAAAATATTGAAAACTTGCTTCCAGTTTTTATGTCGATACCAGATGTTAATCGGAGATGTAAAAAGTGATATCATTTTTGCCGGAATACTTTTGATATACAGGAAATTTTGGGAATTTTAAAATTTTAATTTTTTTTTAATTCGACCGCGAAAAATACTTTACAACGATTTTCGTCTTAAACATTGCATAGAAATATTGCAATAATGTAAGTATAAAGTACACTTAAAAATCAAGATTCTGATTGTTAAATTTATGTTGGAGGCAGAATTTTTTTCCCTTTTATTAGGCAAATGTGCTTAAAAGATGGGTAAATTTCTTGCAGTTAGGCTTGCCTTTATTAAACATTAATTTATGATTCAGTATGTTTGTAAGAAATTTGTTTACACAATTTTGTGTTTTTTGAAGGCAAGATATACCTTTTTTTTCAACCATACAAATTGTTTCCAAAAAATATATATTTACACGAACCTTAGTGTTGTAGGATGGCCTATGGTGCACGTCCGCCTGTGGCTCGTTGAGAATATCATCATGTTCATCATCGTCGTCGTCGTCGTCGTTATCGTCCAAGTCCAATTCCGGCTGGTTGTGCCAATGTGCGTGTCTCACCCTGTGCCCAGGGGTGGCTGGGGGTTGGATCGTCGCAGGCTGTTCTGTGCTCCCGTCGAGGCGGTTGAGCAGACGGTCGAGGTTGGAAAAACGTGCAGACGAGGCGTAGCTAGCGGTCGCAAAGACCGCGATGATCAGCAAAACTTTTGCAGCGTACATGCTCACTACATTATACCGCGGGAACGACTGAGCCTAGCCGCCGAAGAGCCGGCTCTACCCTTTTCAATCCCCCTCCACGCACCCTATCCCGTCCCGACCGTTCTGTCTATTAGTTATTAATTATTTCAATAATATCACCTCTATAATAATTTTAAACACCAATTAATAAAAACTAAATTAATTACTTGAATTCTAACGTCATGGTTTCTTACATATGTGGAACTTTGACCTGTGAGTTTATAAAGATAAAAAATCCAATATTGGCTGAAATGGGCAAGCAATTAGCCTTTCATGACATACAGCAAGGTAAGATTTGCATGACTCAATTGATGTTTTGACTGTTTTTAAATTATTCATGTTCCTTGATATTAAAAAATATTGTAATTCACACTCCAATTTTTTTCACAAAACGGTCTCTTGCAATTCATTCCGCGTTTGATATTAAACATGAAAATTGACTTCAAACTACACTATTTAATTGGATTTCCTTAAATGGTAACAGGGAATTGGGCCAAACCAAGCGAGTATACAGGGTGTCTCTATCTCAATGCAACATCCACTTTTCTCGAAAACGAAGAGTTATAGAAAACAGTTCAAATGAAGACCCCTCCCCGACCGTTTTTTCCAAAGATGTAAAATAAGTGGTCGAAACATTTTTTTGTCAAAGTAATAGCTAATTAAGTATCTACTTTATTTTTTTAAATGAGAAGTTGTTCAGCTTGATTGTTCGAACATTTCAGTTGTTATCATTTGTTCTTCTTTATGGACTACTATACCCTATTTGGTTATTACTTTTGCTTCCATCAGTATAAATGGAAACTCCATTTATTTTCTGGCTTTCACCTTCTTTAAAGGTAGAGTATGGCTAATCGAGGCATACGCTGGCGTGGTATTCTTCTTGTGGACAGAGGGTAAGAACGCACTTTTATATATGTGTCTCTTCTTATTCATCAACTTGCTTCAGCTGAAAGTTTCGATTTATTGTTACAGATGATGTATTTCATCTCATCTACTTTTATCGTCGTTTAAAAAACGTTGATGAATATCCAAGTTGTGTTCAATGAGGCATAGCAAATCGCCAAAAACGTAGATCCGTCGGACAATGCGCTAAGAATAAGTCCTTTGTTCATTGGGATTGTATTCCAGGAAAGGTTCATTAAAAGACAATCGCAGAAACTAATGACAGAATTACTAAACCTAAAACGTGTAAGGACTAGAATCATAGTAGGACTGCTGACTGGGCACTGCATGAGACATAGACTTGAAGCAGTAGAAACAGCCAAGAAGAAAAANTTTCAATAAAAAATATTTAAAAAAAACAAATCTACAGTTGATGCGAAGGTCTATGCAGGCTGAGTGAGATTCCTGCTCCTGGGGGAAAGAAAAATCCAAGAAGGCTATACACGGGAGTGTTGACATAGCTTTGGTATCTGATAAATAGCTTTAAGGTTAATGAAGAAAAACAACATATACTGCGTGTTTATGCTAGTTAAAGTTAATGTGTTTGACTCATCTTTCTGGTTTGCCGTGGTTTAAAAAACACTGAGAGCTTCCCTTGCTCTTCTCTACTTTATGTTCAACGAGGATATTTCCTAGCCTGGACTTTTTATGAGGCATAGCCAAAAACATGGAACCATCAGACACCATCCGAAAACAGGTTAAGAGCGCAAGCAACAACAACTAAACAATAATGGAGATTGCACAAGGTGGAATAAGGAGTATCTCAGTGAAGTTCAAAAGTGAACGAAATGGTAAAAAAAAAGATCAAACATGTCTGTCTCAAGTCCTCAACCTTGAAGAAAACGATCCGGAGGATTGGGCGAGTTTTTGATGTCAACATTTGCAGTAATGGCTTAGACGAAATGGCAACAAAAAATCAGAGATAATTCAATTTATAATAAATTACTTTGTATGACTTGTCCTTATCATTTGATTAGACTGTTGCGCTGGCTAAATCCTTCATACATATTCTCGAGGTACAACTCATACATTTTACGATACAACTTACCACACACATCGTACGATCTATCTACAATCAACTTTAACACTTTTGACTCGTCTTTTTAAAATTGAATTTTGACGATTGATCAAGTGGTTAGAGCAGCGGCACATTTCGGCGAAGGACGTGGGTTTAAATCCCGCTCGTGACACTAGCTTTTTCATCTTAACCTTAGGTAAAAAGTATAATTAACTAACCTAATATGAATTAATCGAAATATTATTGACATTTTACTTTTTAACGCTCGCTTAATCAATAATATTTGTCTCCGGATGCCACGTTGATAGGTTGGTTGAATTGTTGTTATGATTGCAAATTTTTGTTTAAATACAAATGGATTGTACTTTGTACAATTTAAATAAGAAGGAAAAAAGTTCCCCCTGATTATTCCAGAATAAATAAGAGTGAATAATGTGCAACAGAATAAAAAGCGAGTAATATATCGTTATTTTTGTTGTAATAAAAGTTACTAAGCCGTAACCACTTACAAGTTAAAATAAATAAGCCAACTTTAATTTCCAACGGACGTCCAAGACGAAAAAAGTTTGCGTTAACTTCTATAAGTCAATTGAATTAATTTAAAACCATGTAGTACAAATTAAAACCCGATTTATTTTCGTTCGTTTTAAATTTTGTTTTGAAATACAAAAATGTATTATAGTATTACAAATGTTTCTATTTAGACCATTAATAAACATTAATTAAGCTGAAGGGAGGTATCAATGGAATTGGCCTGATTGGATGCCACATTTTAATACTCGTGAATTTTTATGTACCAAATTCAACATTGTTAATGCATGAAGTTTGTTCATTAGCAAAAATATATAACATAAATTATACAGCATCAATCATGAAGCACTACACCGTCCTTTGTCAACATATAACAATATAGGAGAAAATACAAAAAACCACTGGGAAATATAAACACTATAAATATAAATAAGTCATTATAAGTTGGTAAATATGTAAGTTCAATTTAAATGTAAATTAAATATTACATTTACAAACAAAATAAAGAATAATTCTGGCTAGCTTGGTCTGAGTCATATAAAGAGATTTTGTAGATTTTTATTTCCGATAAGAAAGAACTTCTACCTCATTTGGGTTGTAATCTCATATAATTACCATGTACCTGCTAGAATCAATGGAAAGGCGTAAAAATTGTTCTGCATAACTTTCGAGGGTTTTTTTTCAGTCTAGCACGTGTGTCTCCATGAGAGACAGTCATAAAGTAGTCTGGGTTTGACAGTCATATTATAGATAAGACTATAGACTTTTTGCTCATATTAGAGCGATAGAAACAGGAGTCTGATAACAGTTTTGCTTTTTCTCACATGGCTGTTTTTATAGTGGCTAAAATTTAATTTTGAGTCACTTTCCCAAGTAATCGTTCTGTTGCCTGCAAGTAATGAAGAGAATACATTCAGTATTCGTAGCAATCACACTTATCCCCCAAGAACAAGAAAGCTCAAAGTCATCAAAACCTGGGTTCTGCCAAAGCATTTGCAAAATATTGAGAATGGTGCATGACCCAATACTGAGCATTGAGGAACGCCTGTGGTATTATATTGAAGGAGGGTGGAAGGGAATTGTTGAGCACATCACGAAAGGACCTTCTCTTTTTGAGATCTGAAGGTACAATTTCGACGGTAAGCCTATCATGCCTTACAATATCAACGATCTTTTCTTATTACATTAAAAAACATTAATAAATTATTGCCCTTAAAATTTAAAAATTGTTTGTTTATTATTTCCCTTTTAATTTAAAGAAATTTCCTGACTAAAATAACCCTAAAGTCAAGAAGTTTATTTTCTTCACCTGTTTCCAGTATGACCACAGGCTATATTAACATTTTTTTAATTAAAATGTATCTTCAATCAAACTAAATTATGTTCCTAGTATCTGGAAATTCACAGAAGTCATAATGAATTTTCCAGGAAATCAACCACAAGAGGTCAAATCATGTAGATCCATATCACTACGACCTACAGTTTCTCAACTTTTCAAAAAATTACATAAAAATCAGTAGATCTGAGCATCAATCATTCTTCCTAAATCCTTCAAAGGGCAAAATAAATAAACAATAGGAAATAAGGCTCAAACCGCCAAAAACAGTACATATAAATTTTACAAACAAAAATTGATCCATATTCCTCCTTTCACCATCAATGGAGTTATTATACTACACAACAATATATTTAAATATTTGAGAATTATTTTAGATGCCAACCTAAATGGAATGAGAAAACATTAAAAAAAGTACAGAAATAGGGCTAAGATGTATACAGCTATATTGGTCGTCAGGACAAGCTCCAATCTTACAATACAATGCAATCCAAAATTAAATATTATTAAGCAAACAAGTTCTAAAGCCTATTGGGACATATAGAAGAGAAATATGGAGAATAGTGTCGTACCCAATATTGACCCTTTTGGAATATTAGTTACTGTATGGAAGAGGGGTTGTACCAAGGAGGTTTGTACCAAACATAGAAATATGAAAGTATACAAACACTCCAAAATAAAATGTTATGTAACATGATTAATACACTTTGGGATGTAAGAAAGAAGGACTTACATAGGGATCTTAAGTTCCTTGAGGCACATTCTCATGGACTACCCCATATAGAGCATCTTACAGATTTACATAAATTAGTCAATAATATGACAGACCTCCTCGATGATAGATCCAGATATCTGGGTGAAGTTTCATTCCCTCAAAGCCTCCAATCTATACCCGAAAATTTAATACAGATGAGACCAATGCATGATGCTTCAAATCAAATAACAACATCGGTAGAAAAGAAATCCAAAAATTAGTCATAGAGACCTAATTTATCTTCCTCCAGCTAGGCATGGAATCAAGGCAAAATAGCCCAGGTTGTTTTAGACTCTAAAAAAAGTTGATAAAACAATTAAATTTGCCCGACATGTTGATCATGAATCATTATCCATTAGTAAGTTTTGATTCCAGCTGTGTGACTTATTTATAAAAGAAGTAAAAATAACAACAATTTTCAAATCATATAGACACTATTGCATC